TGGCCAAGGCGCTATTTGAGGCATGAATGTCTCCCCTAAAGCTGCAGCAATCATGTGGCATTAGACACTTCCGGAATCCTATAGCCAACCTGAAAAATCCCAGACCCCCTTTTTCCCTAATTTTTGCTCTGATCTGTAATTTTATCCACATTTGCACTAGTTTGAGCATTCTGGCTCTCCCATCTGAAAGCCTGCAATTACTATATAATTCTTCGCAATTTCAGATGTCCTAATATGGACTGTAATTTTTGCGCAAGACAATTTCCTGCTATTTCAAGCATCAACATTGTCAAAGTTGTATGTACATAATAAATGGGAATATCAATGCATAGTTTTTAGCATAACATCTTGACTCCTCGATAATTATATCCGTTCGGAGCCTACGCAGAATTAGCCTGAATTGCATGGTAACTGCTGCTGCTTTAAAATTTTTAAAAATTACTCATAATTTTCCCAAAGATTACCAAGATCTCGAGTGCACAATGTCATCAGCGTAATGAAGAGTAAACATTTATGCTAATAATCTGCAATTTTTTTCATCAGCTATAAAGACAGAGGCTATATAGCCGAAATTTTCAGTCCTATTCTGCAAGCGCAGCGCTGCAAAAAGCCTGCGGCGCTCGGAGGCGTCTGGTCCTGGAGACCTCTTTCCACTCTTTACCTCAGGATAGGAGGATGGGGCTGGGGGATACTTTTTGGTTTTCTGGTTTTGTTTTGCTCTGGTTTGGTCGATTTTGTATTTCCTATTTTTCCTTTTTTTTTTTTCTTTTTTTCCTTTTTTTTCCTTTTTTTTTTCCTTTTCTTTCCTGTCATTCTCCCAGCCAAAAGCCGCCTTCGACCCTTTTGATTTGATGTAGCAAAGATTGTGTCCAGATTATCTGAAATTGACACTGAGAAGGTAAGGGTGGAAACCGGTTTCATTTTTCAGAGGGTTGGAAGGCTGCGCTGCGCCCGCCGCAGCGGCTCCCGCTCCGGGAATAGGAGGGTGGGGGGAGTGATTATGTATGCACCAGCTAATTCTTCCATCAAAACTTCTTGTCAGCGATGTCAGGATTTTTTTTTTTTTCCTTTTTATAAAAACACTTGATGTTTCAGGAAGTGTTAATCCCTGAAGGTTGGGGGATGAGGGAGGGGGTAGGAAAGGAGTGGGTGGGGGGTGACAGTTTCTTGAACCTGGGGAAGGCACCCTTTAGAGCCGTTTGCCAGTCTACACTGAATTGGGGTTTGTTGTAGAGCTGGGACGGAAGGAGGGTTTCTTTGAGTCATGGGAGGGAGAGACCCTTACCCTCTCTATTGCATTTGATAGAGGTTTCTATGGCCATGAGGGATGAGAAGCAGAAAATTCCGCTTTAGCCTTTGATTTCGGGTGTTTAACCCAGGCGGTGGGATGACAAAAGCTAGAGATTTTTGAAATCGGTTTTTTAAAGATACAGAATGAAAGACATGAGTAGCAGGATAAAAATATATAGCTAGGGGCCTGGATTGCTTCTTTCCTCCCACTTTTTCTCGGGATCGAGTTTCGCAGGTTTTGTGTCCAGCACCCAGACCTACCTTTCTTCTGGTGACAAAAATTGACAATTTCTTCAAGGGGAGAGATTTAGTTAATTTCTACATCAAATGACTCAGAGTAAATTCATACTTCTGTGCATATAGATGTGGGGGATTCTAAAACTTTTTGTGGCTCTTTAAACTAGTGCAGAATAGACAAGTCTGGAGAGCCATCTGACCTAGCCCAGTGCAGATCTCAAAAAGAAAGAAATAAAAATAAAACATAACAATCAACGAAGGAACGTTGTGAATTATAAACATGTTTCCAATGTTGTATTTTAAAATATTGCCTAGATTTAGGAGCTTGATTTTTCCATAATTAGACCACTACTAGTAGGGCCACTCAGTCCCCAGCTTATGAAACCCAAGACCAGTGAGGAGGGGGCTGGGGATTGTTGCTTCTGTCCCTCCACCCCCACCCTTACCCCTTTTAGAGCGAGTGTGTGAGAGAAGATATTAAAGAGGTATCTGTTGTTTGGCAATTTTGCTAAGTCTGTCTTCATTACTTCGACGCAGTGCATTTGCTAATTTGGAGGCCCGGCCATTGACAAGCTTGCTTCATACACCTGCAAGCAATTTGCCGGCTCCGGTACCGGAGAATTGCAGAGATGGCAGCTCGCACCTATTTGATTTTTTTTTTTCTTTTCTCAATGCACAGCAAATTTGGCTTTCAGTGCGTTATCTCTTTTGTTAATGCAAAAAGATTCCCTGGGCGAAAAAATTGCTCATAATTACCAGAGAGATGGGGAAACTGCATTAGAATAAATAAACCTGAAATTACTGTAATTATGTTGTGTTTGATGGGCCCGGCTTGTAATCAAGAAGAGAATACAGTGAAATGATGCTGACCCTCTTGGGTTTGCAGCTGTACGCGCACTTTGGGGTCTTTTTTTGCAGAAAAGAGTCATTTTGATAATCATTAAGCTGTGTGTAACCTATTTCAGAAGTGTTTTAAAATGAGGTTCACATTTTTTGAACAAGGGGAAAAAAATCCCAAAATTGCATTTTGCCATTACAGACTCATACATAAGGAAAGGTTGTGTTTTCTAAGTGACAATTGTTAAGACATAATATTCAAAATCAGTATTTAATCGTTATAATGAGGTATTGTTTAAATATAACCACCTTTAGATTATTCATAGTTTAATTAATATACTCATTATGAAAATCTTTGAATCAGATATTTGATGAACTACTTGTCAGTAACAAGGCAGCATTAATTAGACCTATATTGAGATTAACAGTTTTTAAAAGTACAACCGCTTATAATTATAATAGAGCCTAACTAAAGACCGCCTTCGTTGAGCTAAAACTAATAATTTCTCTATTTGAACTGTTAGCATGAGATTATTAAATTAGTATAAGCTAGTATCTCAACGTATTAAAATCTGCTTGACCAAACAGATTTTGCCTGTGGCTTCAGGCGTTGGGCCCTGTCTGCCGTCTGGGGTACCAGAGTTGGATGCGTGAAAGAAATCTGCTAAAACCTTCCCGCTAGCAAAGTCACATTTGGCAGGGGAAACCAAATCCAGGAAGGTCCCTGTCCCCGCGCCGGAGCCCAGCCCGGGAAAACAGTTCCCTCTTTTCAGCTTCGACACCCGCCCGCATGCATCCTGGTCTCCAAGGTCCAATCACCCCCCCCCTTAGCCCTCCAGGTTCTGGGGGCTTGTGGGAGAGGAAGAGCCCCACTTTCAGGCCCAGAAGGAGCCTCGAGGTTCCCCGCTCCATTCCCCACCACCTCCCCTGCTCCCTCCACCATTCCCCCCTTCCCCTCCCTTTCCTAAAGGACATCGGAGAAGCCTGGCGCATCCGATCTTTCACCAGCACCAATTGAAAAATGGGTGATTGTCATAACACAGATCACTGCCTTCCCCTCTCTGCTCCCCACCGCGTGCTGCAAAGGGGCCCCCAAAGGCGGAGCACCAGCCCCCTCGGGAAGCAGTGTCGGAAGGCGAGTTCGAGGGAAGCGGGAATCTTTCAAAGCAGCCTTTTGGGGCCCGCAGCTTTCCTGAGCCCTCTCAGCTTGCTGTGGGGCCTGGGGCTGAGGCTGGTCTGGGGCGCAGGAGGAGGGTGCCAGACTGATGCTAGCGGCTCAGAGCCCACGTTCTTCTGGAGTGTACTGATCAAAACGGTCCACCGGAGGTGCCCCTTAACCGCCTGGCCTTGGGACTTCTGCGCTGGAGGGGGTGGGGGCTTGGCTTGACAAGCTCTCAGGTTCCGTCGAGTCAGCAGAGCCAACCTGCCCCTCCCTCTGCACCTCCGCTTCTCCTAGTCGCAGAGAAAAGCCCGGGGTCATTAGGCAGGAATGGGCCTCTCGTTATGGATGGGCCCGGATGGGTGGGAGTGGCTGTGGAGGGGCCCGGGTGGCGCCTTGGGACTGTCCCCCGGAGCTCACTGATTGATTGGGGGGTAGCGTGACAGACGTGTCCTTCCGGCCCCTTTCCTGCGTCTGGCCTCGTCTTTTCCGCGTCGAGATCCAGCGCCCTGCGGGCAAGCAAAAGCCGGGAGGCCAGATCCCGGCGGATTCGAGGGGCATAGTCGGGTGTCTCCACTTTCAGGCTTCCAGGCCCCCTGCAAGGTGACTGGGCGCAGGGGGCACTTACGTCTCACAGGGCGGCTGCTTGTGAGCTCTGCTTTCATCTCATTCCAGACGGCCTTCACAGTCCCTTTGGTTCCTGAGCCCTGGCTCTGCCAGGCCGCACCTGTTCATGATTCCCCTTCCCAGGGACCCTTGCCACCGCCCTCTAACCCAGGCAGGGATCAGACCCTTTGCGGGGGGGGGGGGGGGGAGCTGACTGGCTGTGGGGGGGGGGGGGGCGGGGGTGGTGCAGGAGTTAAGCTTGAAGAATGGTCCCAGCAGGGGCTTCGCATGCCTCCGCCGTTATCCTGCTATGTCTGGAGCCAGGAGTCGCTGCCCCTGCCTCATCTGTCCCCAGAGGTGGCAGTCTGCTGCCTGGCCCCAGCACCCCTCACACAGCACACCAGACAGCAACTCTTTCTCGAAACCATAATTTTACTGTCTCGGAGAAACTTTATAACTTATTTACAAAGTTCTTTCCCCCCCCCCAAGATACAAAGCAATAAGTTAACATTCTCAATATAAAACTAAACTTTGACATAGAGAACACAAAACACGGTTGATTTCATTTGATCACATTTTCCAAATTTCACAAGAAAAATGTCAAGATTCTCATTTCACAAAGCATCGGGTTTTACAGCCACACACAACATAAAAAGAGCTAAGCTTGTGCAACATGTTTACAGAACAATAATAATAACAATAATAATTAATAACAATAATATGTACAGCAATTAGATCCTGCACTGGAGACTGTGCATTCAGGGTGGTGACTGGCATTACTCTGCGGTCGAGCCTCTGGGGATTGTTGTAAAGCTGCTTTCGTCTTACTTTAAAGCCCACCGGCATTAGGGCACTGGCGCACCCCTGCACGTTTTCTCTCCCCGCCCATCAGTCCTCTCTCTCCACAAGGGAAGCATTAGGATTTTCCTGCTTAACCAGGCAAAGCGATCAAGCGTTCTTCCCGAGATGAGGAAATTGTGTTGGCTTCATTTCTTTCTCTCTCTCTTTTCTTTTTAAAATAATACGGGACATGTAAAAAATGCAAATCATTTGGTTCCAACCTCTCCATACCAGCGAAGTACAAAAGTTACTATATAAATTAAAAATCACCAGGTCCTCCTTATTTGTTTTTCCGGGTGCGTTTAAAGTAATGGGTACGTTTGGACCCTGCGCTCCTCGCGCCCCACAGAACCGTGAATTGACCGAACATTCAGCCTCAAGCGAAGTCCATTTCTCAATAAATAAAACCCCCTCCCTCCAATTTCCCCCAATTCCCGAACGAGCCACACAGATGGTTAGGCAGGCCCAGGAAAAGGTCCGAAAAGATAAAACGTTCCAGTATCCGGAACAGGGTGGCCCGGTGGACCAAGCCTCCTCCGACCTGGTGACTTTTTTCAGCGGCCGAAGAATGAGGACAGAGGACGGACGAGAACCTCGACTTCGTCAGCGCACAGATACAGAGCGAAAGGAGACAAGAAACGGACAGGACAGAAAGAGCTTTTGCTTCTTCTACATTGTTTTTTGTTTTGTTTTGTTTTCCTGATAGTCCCATACAGCTGAGGGTCGGCGGTCGGGTCCGGCGGGATCTTGCTGCGGCTCCCGCTGTCTCAGGCCGCTGTGCCTGCGCTTCGAGGCCAGTCTGCTGTCACCGCGCGGCCGAGGCCGGGGTTCGGGCAAGGGCGTGGGCGCCAGGGAAGTCGCCGAGCCGGACCGCGCGGCACTCGGAGGAGGCGGCGGGCGTCCTGCCTTTACTGTTCCTTCTTCTTTCCCTCTGGGCCCTTCTCCTCCGGACCCACGGCACTCGGGTGGGGCGGGTGGACCGGGAGGCGAGAGGGGCCCGGGCAGAGGGAGACGGGAAGGAGGCGGGCGGATGCGGACGCGCAACCTCACATGAGCTGGGGTTGCTGCATAGCTTCTTGGTGCGCCGAGGGGTACCACGACGTGTAGCTGGGGATGTAGGAGCCCGCGCTGCCGCCCGAGCCCTTCCCGGAAGAGGAGTTGGGGTTCCAGCCGGGCGGCACTGGAGGAGAGCCTGCAGGCAGCGCCCGGCCGTTGGCCAGCGCGCTACCCTCCAGAGCTGCCCCGCCCTGCTTCATCAGCTTCTTGAACTTGGAGCGCTTGTTCTGGAACCAGATCTTAACCTGCAAGAGCGGACAACAACGTGACTCGGTCTAGGTCCCTTGTGCCTACCTTGGGCCTGGGGAGATAAGGGGGCCGTGGGACAGCGAGAGAGGATACCCCGCGGGCCCCTGCCCTGCGCGACCTGGCAGCTCCCTGCTGGAGAAGCATACACACACCCCTTCCCCCATAAGAACCGAAGGCTGGGAGACCCCACCGCGGGCCGCTGGTGGCCGGCAGGGGCAGCTCTCTGAGAGCCGGGGAGCGTGGTGGTGAGCGGTGCAGGGATCCAGGCCTTTGCCTGCCTGGGACTCAGCCCGAGCCCAGCAATCTTTTGGGGAAGACGCGGAGCCTGCATAACATCGAGGCTTCAATTCCAGTATGAGCATCAATAAAAGAACCGAGTGGAGAAAAGAAGTGGAGGAAATTTATTTGCAGTGTGACCCGCCTTCTCTTTGCGCCATCATTTCAGCCCTTGAGCAAGTTGCGGGCTGACTGAGGAGGCCACAGGGTTTTGTTAAACTTTTCATTTGGACTCAAATCCACCTTTCCTTAGTGTCTCCTAACTCTGCTCCAAATCCCGGCCCGGACATTGGAAACCCGCACCAGTCGTGATCAGAACGCCCAAGGGGTCCCCGGAATCTTAGAGAAACCAGGGAAGGAAGGTTCCGTTTCTCCTCCAGGGTCTGGGACTTGGGAGGTGAGAGGGCGGAGGAAAGGATTCCCCCTGCCAGCCCAAACCGGTGAGAAGGCGGAGGAGGAGGGAGACAGAGGCTCGGGCCCAGGCCAGGAGTGATTAGCCACACACTTTAAAGGCAAAGAAGGGATTAACCCCCGCGTCTATTGTTCCAGTTGTTCGGGCACGTGTGACCTCAGAGTCCCCAAACAAAATGCCTAGGGAAATCCTTCTTGTGCCCTAATCAGATTGTCCAGGAACGGAGGGCAGCGACAGAGCCAGGGCAGAGAGAACTGCGGAGGAAGGAGAGATGTTGCGAGAGCCGGGGTGGGACACACACACACACACCCAACACACACACACCCAACACACACACACCCAACACACACACACATACACACACACACACACACACACACACCGACCCCTGACGCCCAGAGAGCAAGAAATGAAGCTGCGGGTGCAGGTTGGCCGCGGGAAGCCTGCGTGGCGCCACAGTGGGGCAGCGCCGAGGTACCTGCGTCTGCGTGAGTCCCAAGGAGGCCGCGAGCTCCGCCCTCTCGGGCAGAGCTAGGTACTGAGTTTGCTGGAACCTGCGGTTCAAAGCCTGCAACTGCAAACTGGAATAAATCGTCCTGGGTTTGCGGATCTTTTTCCCCTTGCCATTGAAGCGTACTTCACCGCCTTCCACCACCGTGCTCTTCTCGGAGTCAGCCCCTGGAGGGACAGCAGAAGTGGGGGCCGTAGTTAAGGCGAGGGACTGCCTTTAGTGCGGGGAGCCCAGAGCAAGTGACCGCAGAGGGGTGGCAGAGGCAGGACCAGGAGAGAGAACGCTCAAGAAACTCCGAAAGCCAGGGAAGTGTCCCGCCAAGTCCAAAGGGCCCGACCCCGGCCGCTGCAAGCGGACTGGGGCAGTTCCCAGGCGCGCAGCTCCTGCCTTTGCAGGGAAAGTTTGCTATTTTTACAGGCTGTAGTTGAGGTTTAATTACCCTTAATTGCATACATTGTTTACAGCGCTACGCAACAAATAATTACCGAGACTAATAAGTGCACATGTGGGTTTCTGTTTTCCACCAAGGCATTGTGTGCTCGGCTCACGGAGCCACCCAGAGGCCCAGCCAGTGCCAGGGGACGCTCTCGGATTTCTCCTTTGCTGGATAGTTGCAAGTTGCGTGGATATATATTTTTAAAATTTCTTTGCTATGACAGGGATTCATTTACTGATACCCAAAACCTTTCACTGCTCCGGCGCCCTCCCCACCCCCATCCCATGTCTCTCCTCCACTCCTCTCCCTCCTTTCTCTCTCTCTCCTCCTCCTCCTCTCTCTTCCCCCCCTCCCTCCCTTCGCACCTCTTCTCCCTGGCAGGCGCACGTACCTGGGTCCTCCAGGCGGCTCTGGGCGAGGCTGGCGCTGCCCGGGTAGGACTGCACCGAACTGATGTAGGGGCTGGACGCGTGGCTGCTGACCGAGTTGACGTAAGGGTAGCCCAGCGGTCGGGAGAAAGACGAGGCCGAGCTGTAGGCGCCGTCGGGCTGAGAATGGCCCGCCGAGTGTAAACAGTGCATGGAGTAGTGCCCGTGGGACATGGGAGAAGGAGACATTTGCTGGTTGGGTGGCCCAAACTCCATAAACACCGCCTTGCCCGACACGGGGCTGTTGAGACTCTCTGGCATGGTGGTCATGGTCATCTCTTCTCGCGGGGTCTGGGTGTGGGTCTCTCTCTCCTCTGCTTCCCTTTTGGGGGTCTCTGTGTTTCTCAGGACAGGAAGGAACCCAATTTAAGCGTAACAGGGGTTTTCACTTTCCATTCATAAGAAAATGGAGTTTGTCTCTTTGAAAAGTCTAAGCATGATGCTGCCGAGCTCCCCAAACTCGCTTCAAAGCTTTGACTCAGCCAAGGTCATAAATATTCATGAGCTGGCGGAGCTGATTGGTCCGCTGTCTTGCATAATCACCGGGGATTGGTCCGAGGCGCTCCGGCTCCGCTGGACTAGAGCGGGCGAGGCGGCCCGGCCTCTGGAGAGACGCATCCACACCTCTCGGCCGGGGCTCCTCTGCAACAGAGCACGCAGCGTGGGGCGCACAATGGGCTGCGGCGTCCGCGCCGGGACCTCCGCGGCCTGCGGCTCATCAGCCTCCCGCCTCCCCGGCGCGCCTTACTTCCCAGAAATCAACCAGTGGTTCGGCGCCGCCGCCCACCCCCTCCTACTGTCCCCACCCTCCGCCCGCCCCCAACACCGGGGACTAGGGCAGTTTCTCCTAGCAATCGCCGCCCGGTCCGGTGCAGAGCTAGGGCGGCTCTGGAGCCCGGCCGCGGCCTCCCGTACGCGGAGTCGCGCAATGGGGGCGCCGGAGGCGGTCAACAGAGCGCTGTCCTCCCGAGAGTCTCGTGCCTAGCGCAGCCCTCTCCCGGCGGCGCCTCCCTGTCCTGGGTCCGCTCTGCCACATCCCTGGGGGCGGGTTTGGGGCCCTCCGGGCGCACTCACTCACTCGGCCGCCGCGCCGCCGCCGCTCCCTGGGGCCTGCTCGCATTGCTCCAGGCCAAGCTGGCCACTCCAGCTCGAGGCTGCACCGGTCTGATTAAAACAGTGCGCGCGGAGAGCCAGGAACCGGCGCTTCTCCTCCCAGGAAAGGCGACCGCACCGCCCCCTCCCCCCAACACCCCCCTCCTCTTTCCCCCCCAACCTTCCTCCTCCTCCCCCGCGCCATTCCCTCTGCGCCGAGCGCCCCGGCTCACTCGCCCCTAGGGCGCGGCACGGAGTGGAGCCTAGGAGCTGGCGGGCTCAGTTCTGCTTGAGCCGCGGACGCCAGGTGGTCATTTTCCGGCCTCCTGGGGTCTGGCGAGAGTACCCGGGGTGTAGGAGTCCTGGAGGACACCAAAACCCGCAGCAAAACCAGGCCAGTGGTAGGCTCGCTTGTCTGTGTGTGAACACGTCTCTCATTGTCACCCAGGATCCTCCTCATCTCCAGGGGTCAAAGCAGGCGCCACTGGGCCTGGGGTAGAGCTGGTGGAGGCAAAAGCTGCCGCGGCGCCTTCTATCTGCTGGGGCGCTAGGTACAGAAAAGTGCACAAAAGCCCCCGCCGCCACCGCCACACAGCCACCCCCATAAGGCGTGGCGCGCACCACGCAGGCTGCCAAGGGGCTGTTGGTTCCCTATCCCGCCAGCCCCACGGTGAATCCCAAATTACTTTGTTAGGTAATTAGAAAGTGTTGATAATTATTTCTTTCATAATTTAGCGGTGTGACGGGAACAGGGAAATGATCTTGTGAAAGTTCACACGTGCAGATGTATTAGTTACTGATTCATTTGATTAAATGGTAGTCTCAAGTGCTCGGATCCGCAGCTGAAGGCGCCCCATTAGCATAACACTGATGTTTAATTTTCATACGCATAATTAGCCATATATTTAACACTAATAGCAACATGCAGCCTTTCAGCCTTAAACAGCCCAGGGTTTGATCTGGCCTGAGCTGAACCTTCGCCGAGGCACCTTCCCCTTTCTAGAGTGCGTGGTGCTCACAGGACAAACCTCTGTAATCAAGCACATTTTGGCAGAGGGAACACCAATAAAAATGAACATTCAAAACAAATTACATCGGTGCTGTCGTTACAGATATTAGTGGAAGGGGCTTCTCTCTTTTAACTTCTGTAGCAGCAGCTGCTGCCCGGGGGAATTCCTCTCCTTTGGTTTAAGGGTAAGATATTGGGGGGCAGAGATATTTCAGGCAGCGTGGTTGGAGCAAAAAATAAAAGCCAAGCAAAACGAAACAACCAATCCTCCAAACCAATAACGGCTTTGCCAACGTTTTAAAAGATTTTTCCTTCTTTCTTTCTTTTTCCTTTTTCTCCCACCGCCCCCCCCCCC